CTACAAGCCCTATATGATATAAGACCTACTTATATGAGGGATCATATTTCTCCCATCATTTTGCCCATCCCATAAAATCTATCAGTCGGTGGGCTCTGGAAGCTAAAAGGCATTCCTTTTCTGCCATGGTGTTTGCTTTCTGAAACAGCATCTTCCCAGAGGTTTAAACAGCCCCCACTGCTTCCTTCACTCCCTTCCTTCTAGTGATCTTGGAATATCAGGCTTTGGGCTAGGTGTGGGATACATTCTAGATGGCAGTGTTTTATTTATTATTACACTTGTATGTTTCCCAACCATAGCTCTTTTCAGGTGCATCAAATTCTAGAATTCCATTACCAGTATGCTCATGGCTAAAAATTCTAGGACTTTATGCCTGCCAGAGCCATTAAAATTGATTCTATGATTTTGGACAAGTCACTCTCTCACAACTAGGATGACTAGACATCTGGACAGGCAAAGGAGTACACAAACAATTGGGAAGGGGACAAATGAGAGAAGAGTAAATATACTGCTAATGTACTTGACAAAATTACAGCAAAAAACTGTAAAAAAAATATACTTAGGCCTTCATGTACTGTATATGACATTAGTTTTCCAGCATCAGAAAGACTGGTTTTTTTTCATCATAGCATTTTTCCAACTGTAGGGAGTCAGCAACCCCACCCACCCAGAGAATGAAATATTTGGGGGAATATTAGAAAAAAGGCAGGATAGAGTATTTCCCCTGAAGGAGAAAGGAAGGGGGGGAATCTTAGGCAGAAACAGCCCAGTCTCCCTTTCCCCAGGCAGAAATCTGAGGAGGACACTCTTTAGAAATTCAGATTTTCTAATCCATTCAGGAAGACTGGAGCCATGAAGGCTGGAACTGGTGGGATTAGAAAAACAAAGGCTCCTAAAATATACATTCCCCCACCCAGCTCCAAGGACAGGACCGGACCTCTAGGACATAATAAGATTAACCCACCACCATTAGAATACCAAAAGGGCACACTCAAGTTCAGGTCAAAGTACATTGCACAAAATAGGCATCTCAAATACAAAGCCCAAAGAAGATATAAAAACCCACCCACTCTCAACTCCATTTGATCAGCTATCCTAGAACTGATAGACAGATAGATACTGGAACTGGACCTGAGTTTTATTTCAACACAACAAATCTTTATTTTCAAGAACCAAAGCTAGTGATAGTATAGAATCAGCAACCACACACTTTTCAAATTTCACCATAGAAACATGAATATATTATATGATGATTCAGGTGATGTACAGGCTACAGTAATTTTAGATTTGAAGGGGTTGGATTGAAGTCAGTTGCTGGAATTAGGAAATAAATAATATAAAGCTAGGCAGTGGAGTCTGTTATTCAAAGAAGGAAAGAAAGGAAAGATACAAATGTTAAGGCTTCCTAGAGCCTACTTCTTTGCAGCAGAGAAATTGGTTGGGGTTGACTAATCCCTTGTATCTCTCTGTGTATGCACCTACAAGTCTGAACGTGTCTATAATTAGGCAGGCTTCTTGTCCACAAATGATGTGCAAGAATAAATATGGTTAATGCTTTGAGGGTCTGGGATCTCAGTATTTTTTAAAATAACTTAAATCCAGGGCTTTTTTTGGTCACAGAATGCCCAGAACGGAGTTCCGGCACCTTTTTTGGATGGAACCTTGTAGGGTAGGCAAGGCGGGTTGTATGACATGTGTGAGTTCCGGCATCTTTTTTTTTTTTTTTACAAAAAAAGCACTGCTTAAATCTATTACAGTACCTAACCCATTGGCTGAAAAAACAAGAAAGACGTGATAGCCGGGGTGGCGGTTGGGACCCCCAGACTTATGGTCTTGGGGGATTTCAACCTGCCATCAGTGGGGGAGACGTCAGCGGCAGCTCAGGAGTTCTTGGCTTCCATGACGGCCTTGGACTTGACCCAATTAATACAGGCCCCCACTCACAGGGGGGACACACGCTGGACCTGATTTTTGTCTCAGGCCAGTGGCAGAATGATCTGGCATTAGGGGAGATAGTCATTGAGCCCTTGTCATGGTCAGATCACTCTCTCTCCTAAGGATGGACTTCCGGACCACTCCCCCTCGCCGCAGGGTGTCGGAACCACCTAGAGGGTTCCGTCCCAGGCGACTGATGGACCCTGAGAGGTTCCTGACGGAGCTTGGGCCATATCCGGAGGATCTAGTCCACGACTCGGCGGAAAATCAGGCGGCGGCGTGGGAGACAACTGCCGCCGCAGCATTGGACCAGGTCGTGCCTTTGCGGCCTCTGACCCGACGTAGGTCTCGATTGGCTCCTGGTTCACCGAGGAGCTGAGAGAGATGAAACGTCGGAAAAGAAGCCTAGAGAGCAGTTGGAGGGCCAGCCGAACCGAACCCGCCCGAACACAGGTTAGGATACACGTTAGATCCTACCTAGTGGCGATGAGGGAGGCTAGGACTAACTACTATTCCTCGCTCATCGCGTCATCAGATAACCGCCCGGCCGCCCTCTT